TGACAAAAGTTGAACTTGTGATTTCTTGTGAATTTGCAAGTCTTCCGATTCATTAGTTGCTATTGGTAAAAGAATAATGCAGTAACAATAAAACTATTTACGCAAATATTTACTTCCTCACAATTACAATAAATAAATAAATATCAATATATACCAATTATTATCAAGCAGCATAACAGATTGTTATTGTACAGCTAAAATTACAGAAAACGACTGACGCCGGAGGCCTTGCACAGTCAAATAAAAAATGGCCACATCTGCTAATGAGTTAAAATAAGGTAAGACTTAAAAGTGCAGAAGTGCTATTTTTATTACTTATGTGTACATGTGCATATGATGTTGTCATTTGAGTACCATATTAAGTCTCTCTTTTAATTACATTTTGAGTAGTCTTATTGTACTTCACTGCCATTTTCTTGGAAGTAAAGCACATATTGTGATAGATAGAGGGTGTTGGAACATCATCTTGCTGTTGATCTTACAAACGAATCTGCACTCATCCAGCAGGAGAAGAAACCTCTCATCTGATTCACTACAATCAAGCAGCAACTCTCAGGATTGAAAACAAAGACTGTAATGCACCTTGCCACAATAATCGAGTCCCCTCAAAGTGGCTGCCCACAATATTTTTCCCTTGTCAACATGACAAAGAATGACAGTGCAACCCAATTTCCATTGTCTAAAATGAATGTTTAACCTCAAACACTTTCTTTTGATGAAACATATGAAAATGGACGATTGCTGAGGCAAAAACACAAAAAGTGACTTTATAAAGCAAAGTCTCTCAGAATAGTATTATTAAAGAAATGGCCATGAACTTAACATGCTTGAGACTTTGTCTCCACGTGTTTCATAGATAGATAAGTACTTACGCAGATGTGGTTTACAGCTATGAGTCAGTCTTCTTCCTCTTTGTGACAGCCTACCATTTAAACAGTTATACCTCCCTCCCACCACTGCTTCACATAAACCCACCTGCTATAACACGTCATGATTCCCTAGCATTTCAAGGAATTTTACCTCAAGGATTTTTTTTTTTTTTTAAATAAGAGTAGTTTTGAGGTCATATAGGAATGAATGTGTTTCCTGCATATTAGTTTAAATGCATACCACCAGGACAATGAACTTTAATCCATCAAATATTTTATTAAATGACGCTTAACATTAAAAATCTTAAAAGCAACATTCAAACTATAGGTTAAATGCATTTCTTTAAGATGTCAAAAGGTCAGTTGAAAACATTTTTAACCCTGATGCAAAAACTAACTAGTGACTAAAATTGATGCAAAGCTAAAAGTGAGTTTATTTCAAATTCCTGATGAAATCATTCATTCCTAAATTATCTGTATCATTCGCCTATCTAAAATATGAGCAATATACATGCACAAAGAGGAGCACATTTGCAACAGCTTCAACTTCTGCATTCTCCTACTTAACATATATCATTATTGTTAACAAAATTGTTAAAAAAACAGAACAAAGACAACTTTCAAGAACACAATATACATTCATTAAAAAGGGGAACTTAAAGTAAAAAAAGAAAAAGAATGAAAATAACTCTGAGGGAATAAGTTTGCTCTATGCAATCTGCGTGGAGGAATATTCAGTAGATTTGCTGAAGACTGAACTTCTGCGTTCAGATAACTGTCGAGACAAAGTGGTGCACTGGCTGAAGCACAATGGAAACTGCTCTTTTAAGACTTTAAGAACTGCTCTTCTGAACTTCTGTCCGGCAAAGGCATAGATGATAGGGTTAAGGCAACAGTGGCTTAAGGCGATTGTTTCCACCCATTGCATGGCAAGGCTTAAACTAGTATGCCACTCACAAGAAAGCAAGTAACTTTGCTTCTGCAGGAACATAAGAAACATGACAATGTTGTATGGAGTCCAGAAGACGAAATAAACTGCCACCACAGCCAGGATGAGTCTAATGACTTTGTGCCTTTTTTGTGATTTTATGCTGAGCAGAGTAGGGATGATCCGGGAATAGCAAAAGCCCATAATAATCAGAGGGAAAATCAAGCTCAGGAAGTTCATCTTAAGGTAAATAAATGACATCCAGGCTGTACCTTCAGGAAAATCAGATCCGCATGATGTTTTGGTGCTTACCTCCGTTTTCTCTTTGGCAAAAATAATATTAGGGAGGGATGCAAACAGACTGAGAATCCATACAAATGAGGCCAGAACCAAACCCATTTTTGCAGACCGATTTCTGGAAAGGATACTATGGGCATGGACGATGACAACGTAGCGATCCAGTGTCATAAGGACCATGAAGAAGATGCTACCGTACAGACCCATCATGAAGAGACCTGTTATGGTATGACACATGAATTTGCCAAAAATCCACTCATTCATGGCACTGTGAGCCCAAAAAGGGAGTGACGCAAGAAAGAGTAGGTCAGATAGGGCTAGGTTGAAGAGGCACACATCTGTCATGTTGGATTTTTGACGGTATCTGATCAGGACCCACACTACCAAGCCATTTCCGATGAAGCCAAGAATGAAAACGATGCTATACAGGGTGGGAAGGAAAACCTCGCTGAAGGCCTTTGTGTTGCCATTGTTGCATGGTGATGCAATGTCTTTGTCATATTGATTGTAGTAATCACCGTAGTCTGTTGTTGTAGCTTGGAGGGCAGACAAATAACACACTGTTAGGTTATATAATAGGTCTATTTATAATATATATAATATTTATAATATATAATGTATAATATGTTTATAGTGTATTATGAAATCTTAACAACATTGGTTTCTTTAGGTTTGAAAGTAGATAAAATAAAATGATACCCCAAGTAGGAACTTGAATTTTAGTTTGTGCTCTCCTGACATCTACTGGTCAGACTAGGCATGGTTTTCTTCACATGTTGTAAACTGACGACTTTTGAGATGTTAAAATGTTCACCTATATGACTTCTTTCGTGTTTAAAACCATAGTTCACACAAAAAACATGAAAATTCTGTCATAATTTACTCACCCTCAAATTGTTCCAAACCTGTCTGAGTTTTTTTTTTCTAATGTTGAAAACAAAATAAGATATTTCGAAGAATGTTGGAAACCAAACAGTAGATGGTTGAAATTCTTCAAAATATCTGCTTTTGTGC